ACAAAAGTTAAAATACATAGCAGCTGAGAAAATATCCTATCCCATAATCTTCTATACATATAAAAATGACTGTCTGTGTGTATATTCCAGCATAACTCTAAAATGCCTTCAGCAATTTCAACCAAATTTGGTACACAGATGACTTACTCTCTGGAGACAAATACTGTGGGGGTAAGACACCCCCAAACCCCTCGGGGTGTGTGTTCTGTTAAGATACAGCCTGTTGTACTGTACTGCCGTACTGGCTTCTACTGTACAGTGCAATGGAGTTGCCATGATAACGGCTTCTCAGTACTCCACAAGGGGGCTCCCTCTGGTAAGGGGGAAAATCCAACATTAGAAATTACATTTGGTCCTGATATTTTTCCCCTATAAATAAATATCTCAGCAATGCCGGGTTATTGGCTAGTCACTAATAAAGCAAAAAAAAAAGAAAAAAAAAAGGGGGGGGTCCCACCACACATGTGGGGATTTAGGTCTGGGCACAAAGCCAGACAAGTATGAACTTTTGCTTTACAATTTCTTCCTTGACTGGTGTTTTCATTTGTGGCTGTATACGCCTTCAAGATATTCTAGGATCAAGCAAATGCCAGTTCTAAGAACAACTGTTCCCCACCCTAGCTGATCACATCACCACGGGATAAAAAATTGGCTGAATTTCTTCACCTAACTTAAAACAACCAACTATGTAGTTGGTTTGTCTTTGCCAACTCCCAATATTTAAAACAAAACATAATTCTCATTTGAAATTCCCAGTTCCTCAAAGTTTGCAATGCAGTTTGACAAAAAGAAATGTTTACTTTATTGCACACGTATGGAAAAGTCTCTAGTGTATTAGTATTTTTTTTTAAAAAAAATTCAATTTGGATAACTAGAACTTGGCATATTCACCCAAATGAGAAACTGGAAGAAATGAAAATCCACAGATTTGATTATCCCCTTGTCCTTGCTATAATGATCTCATTCCTAGTGACTTTTCATAAGCAAGACTCAGTGCATATATACCAGGGTGATCACACCGTAGAGCTTCTCCACTTTCTCTCTCAGTTCCTTGAAGCAAGAGGTTAGCCTGTCATGAAGAGGCTTCAATTGCTCGGTCAGTTTCTTCCCATGGATTCTAATCCCTTCAGCCAGCAAAGGCATCTGCAAGAGGCAAGCCAGATTAGAAGATTAAGAAAGCACAGAGGTAGACAGTTGTCACCATGGCACCTGGCTGCTTCTAAACTTGTCGAATTCAGTATTCAACTCATTTTGAAACAGAAATCTTGTCCCGGGATTCATCTTTCTCCCGATAATCAACACACAAGGAATAACTTGCTGACGTTGATTGCCTTGTGACTTGCTGTTTCTTCTGGCCAAAATAACAGGTCATGTGGTAAATTATGTGGTTTTCCCACTACTTGTTGGTTTTAGTATTTGGCACTTCTTCTGGAACTAATTGCTGATGGGTGCTGAGGTACCACTGTAGTTTCAAATTAGTGGTTTGAAATTTGGAAAATGAGAAGGCTCATATTTCTTGGCTTAGCTTACCAATGAGGTCAAGCCAGGTTTAGGCATATCTAGATTATAGGTAAAGGTAAAGGTTCCCCTGCACATGCGTGCTAGTTGTTCCTGATTCTAGGGGGCAGTGCTCATCTCCTTTCAAGCCGAAGAGCCAGCGCTGTCCAAAGACGTCTCCATGGCCATCTGGCTGGCAAGACTAAATGCCGAGGGCTCAAGGAACACTGTTACCTTCTCACCAAAGGTGGTTCCTATTTTTCTATTCGTATTTTTACATGCTTTCGAACTGCTAGGTTGGCAGAAGCTGGGACAAGTAACAGAAGCTCACTCTGTTACGCAGCGCTAGGGATACGAACCACTGAACTGCCAACCTTCTGATCAACAAGCTCAGCGTCTTAGCCCCTGAGCTACTGCGCCCCTTACAGATTATACATCATGCTTATTTGAGTAAACTTAAATAATTTGGAGTCCTTGGTGCTCTCTGAGCTTGGTTGTTTTATTGCAGACATTTCATTACCCAACTAGGTAACCTCATCAATGCTGGGAGTGGGGTTTGTTCTCTGTTTACATACAAGTGGCTTGTCTTGTTAATGTTGATGGGAGTGTTTTTATATTTCACCTTTCCTCCAGTTCAATTGAATTTATCTAGCACTCTTCTTCCATGTTTTCTCCCACATTTCCATGGTTGAAGATGGGTTTGAATCCCAATGCCATTTCAACTCCTTTTTTTGTCACAATCCCGATCTATTGTTTCATACTTTGTTTGTTTATTTGCATCCTGGTTAGGAGTTATGTTTAACTGAGGGGTTGTGTTTAACCATCAGCAAGAAAAATGTGTTCTAAATAAACATCAGTGAAGCATAATTGGCTGAGTTCACCCAACATGAGAAGCTGTAGACTACGGCTTATGGCCAGTTTGCAAGTTACAAGTCAAACCCAAACAAACTTCATTGGGGCTTAATGTGATATAAATCAAATCTCTGATTTAGTCTGTTAGTCAGCAACTGACTGTGGCTGTCTTCATGTTTTTCCTAAGTGAAAAGGTTAGGCATTGTTGGACTTCACTAGCACTTTAACCACAAATCACCAAGACATATTAGACTGGGAATAAAAGAAAAATGCCAGAGAAAGCCAATGCTGAACCACTTTGTATCACTCTTTTAACATAGACATGCTTACATGGTCCCCATCAAGAATCAAACACCTTGAATGTCTACTTTTACCTTGCTAATTTAGATTTCTAAATTAATGCTGCTGGTTATTAGTATTGTGCAAAACTTTGGCTTTAAGGGCATAAGATGCTTCAAAGGTCTGTGAAGGTGTGAATACAGCAGGTGTCTGCAACGCCTTAAAATTTAGCTGGATTGCATAATTCTAAGGGGAAAAAAACCATTTGGTTTACGAAGTTGCACACAAGTGATATGTGCATGCCCCCATTTATTTCAAAGCACCTTTGGTCTATAAACTTGAAGCACTGTGTTGTTCTTTTAGTCAGAACTTAAATATTCTGCTTGCAGAGGTCATGCTTTTTCACTGAGCATTATTCCTGCCCCTTAATAAGATTATATTCAATGATTTCCGTAGCACTTTTGTGATTACTTCTAGCTTAACCAATACATTATGCCAAATATGCCAAGAAACGATGCATTTCTATATCTTAAGTTGCATTGCTATGCTTAGTTGTTATACTTTGGGAAGCATTTTAGTGTTGTCCGTGTGTGTGTCTCCAAATCATTATTGGCTCTCTGACGCCCTAGATTAGTCCCTGAAGTTCTCTTGGCAAGATTTTGGAAGTGGTTTGTCATTTCTTTCCTAGGGCTGAGAGAGAATAGCAATAGCAATAAGATTTATATACTGCTTTACAGTGCTTTTACAGCCCTCTCTAAGCTGTTTACAGGGTCAGCCTATTGCCCCCAACAATCTAGCTCCTCATTTTACCCACCTCAGAAGGATGGAAGGCTGAGTCAACCTTGAGCCTGGTGAGATTTGAACTGCCAAATTGCAGTCAGCAAACGTAGCCTGCAGTACTGCACTCTAACCACTGTGCTACCGCAAAATGACTGGTCTCAGGTAATCCAGCTGGTTTCTTGTCTACAATGGGACTAGAACTCACAGTCTCCTAGTTTCTAGAGTGATGCCTTAACAATTGCACCCAACTACTACTTTTTTTATGAGCAATGCAAGTTGTCTGTCATACAGTAACAGCAGGTAGAATCCTGGCCAGATGATATCCCAACATCTGCAAGATGCTACTTCAGGAAAAGTTACACCGCAATGACAATATTACTTCTGCAAAATAGCCTACGGACATCTTTCCACATATCTGCATTCCTGCAGGTACCTGTAGGGCAATTAGTTGCTTGAGTAATTCAATCTTTTCTTGATCTTCAGAGTGTTCCTGAACATATTTCTCAGTGAAAAAGGCCTGCAGAGATGAAATGAAAAAAGAAGACAGGCTAAGTGTTTGATCCTATAATGAAAAGAATCAAATTAAGCTATATGGACAGCAAGAGAAAACATTTTGAAGGTTGTTTTTATATATGACAACTTCAGCAAGATAAATCAATGCTCAAAAGTGAAATGGTTTAACATATCCTCAACAAGGAATGATTGGTGAAGATGATGAGACTTCAGAGATGGCTATATTGACTTTCTTGATTAGGGAAAATATGATAAATTATGGCTGATTGGAAGACACACAGCCTTTCTCCTTTTTTCATGAGCTAGAACAAAATGCAGTTAACATTTGGGGTGAAAAATAGGTAATTCAAAGAGTGAGAATTGTTTTTGTAACCATAGTGTAAGAGATAACTTTGTAATATAGTAGTATTTGCTGGATGCTTCTTTCTAATTCTTTTTATCGTTTTTCTGCATTTTTTCTTTTCTACTTTCTTTTTCTGCCTTTGTTTTCTTTATTCAGCATCAGTGTCTGTAAGTTTTATCTTCTTTTTAAAACTTTTAATGAGGGAGACAGAGAAAGGGGGGAGGACACAGACAGACAGACCGACCGACCGACTGAGAGAGACAAATACAGAGAGAAAGAGAAAGTCTCTGTCTATGAAGATTTAAAATTCTCAATCTCTGGAAGCTTTTAAGAAGCAGCTGGACAGTTGTCTTTCAAGGTTAATTTATCTGGTTTTCCAGCAGTAAATTGGATTAGATTATTCCTGTTGTCCTCTCCAACTTCATAATGATTCTACAAAAAACTTCCTACTATGAATAAACCAGTTTTTTTTTTAAAAAAACAAGAAAGCTAAAGGCACAAGATAGAATCTTATGTACTTTTATTTTAATGCTATGCAAAACCTCACTGCATTCTTTCAACTCTGATTTCTGAGGATAAGCAGGAGAGGATAGCTAGCTTCCTAAGGAATGAGTGAGTAATGGTTCTTAGGCCTTGAAAAGCTTCAATCCTTGTATTTAAACATCACAGTAACATTTTTTTAAATTGCCTTATACTTGGTCCCCTAAGTTCTTTCAGGAAATACAGGATAATATACTACTATTTGCGAGTTCTGACATTACTAATCCATACCCCAATAATCTGCACTCAACCGTTCTCTCCTGAAACAAGAGGAGTAAGGTTAAGGAGTACTAGTTGCAGCCTGCCTGACTTCCTTGTAGAAGGATGAGTTTTAAACGGAAACAAAGAGTCAGCCACAGCATAATATAGCTGGAAAAAAAAATCAAAGAAAATATTATGTGCAAACATCCCACCCTTTCCATGGAAACAACACATTTCTTATTTTTGTATTCAGGATGCTTACTTACTATTTTCCTTCATTGCATACATTTCTGTTTCTGGAATTTTTGAACACCATCATAATAAATGTCACGTTATCTTTAAAACAACAAGAACAACAACCTGCTCCTTGGAAATACTGTAGATCCAGGCTGGAATCATACAGCAACTATTCATAGTCCTCCAGATTCATCTCTACTGAAAAGAAGCATGGTGGCTTGAGGAGTGGAATGCTGGGCAGGCGGGTTAGAGAGGCCATGTTTGAGACCCGTGAGCTGTGTGGGCTGGGGATAAGCGCTCATCCTTCAGTCCAGCTCCTGATGGGGACATGAAAGGAGCTCCCAAAAGGAGTCCCAAACTGGGCTTCAGTCAGTGGTGGGATTCTAAATCTTTTCCTACCGGTTCTATGAGAGTGCATTTCATGCACGCACTTCACACGCTTTGCATGTCAAAGCATACAAAGATCATCCTTGGAGTCAGCGCTGGTCAGCTGAACTGTTTTTTAGCTCAGCTGAGGTACAGCAATCCACTCTGCTATGTGAATAAGCTGAGCTAAAAAACAAGGGAATATAGGATAGGGCACAACTGGAGTGGGAGGGTGGGGCCAACTAGAGGCAGTACTTGCTGGTTCTCCGAACTACTCAAAATTTCCACTACTAGTTCATCTGAACTGGTCCGAACCGGCTGAATACCACCTCTGGCCTCAGTGCTTGTGACTTGAGTTTAGCATCTCAACTGAAATCTGCAAGGACTTGTGCAGAATTCGACACAATTGAAGGGAAGGGAAGGGAAGGGAAGGGAAGGGAGGAAGGAAGGAAGGAAGGAAGGAAGGAAGGAAAGAAGGAAGGAAGGA